CCGGCCGCTGACACCGACGCCGCCGTCCACTCCGACGCCTCTTCCGACGCCTCTTCCGACGCCTCTTCTAATGACGGCGACGACGACGACGACGACGAGGAAGACGAGGTGGTCGAGGCGCAGATCTTCCCGATGAGTGACGACGAAAAGGCGTACGACCGCGCGGTAGACGACAAGAGCGCGGCCGCGGCGGAGGCGCATGACTCGTCGGCGGATTGCATGCGCTTCATCGTATACGACAAGCCGGTGAAGACGGGGTCGACGGCCGTGCGCGACGCGCTACTAGCCTACTTCTCGACGCGTGGCGCCGAGTTTGTGCCGTGCACGTTCCAGGCGTGCAACGCCGTAGCCGAGCGCATCCTCGCCGGCGAGGAGCCCAAGCGTAACCTGGTGGAGCACCTGCTCGGCCAGAACGGGCTCGTGGAACGCCTCGGCGAGTTCGGCTACTACAAGGCCACCAGTATCAGGGACCCGAAGAGCAGGTGGGAGAGCGCGTTCCGGTACAACCGGGCGAAGAAGGCCAAGCACTACGGGATCGAGCCGGATGTTAGCTACGAGGAATTCATGTCACGCATGCCGCCGTGCTCGCTGTACGACTTTTACGATAGGAAGGGCGCGGCTTGTGGAGATGATGTGGAGGAGCGAATCAAGAACATTGTTTATCGCTATCATGAGATTATCGATCTTTACGACGAGCCGGCGGGGCAGCTGCACATGAGGCTCGTGCCGTACTTGGCTGTCAGTAACAAGAGCCCGGAAACGAATGCCAACGGAAACTTTGACGCTTCCCGCCTAGATAACGAGACGAGGTTGTACAACGCACTGAAGAAGAGACGGCTCGAGCTCCACGGACATGAGCCCCTGCTGTGTTGAGCGGCGCCGCTGAAGAAACATTTGTTGGTGCTGTGTTGGGAACAAGACGAGACGCACGATTTTTTGGGTGGAGGAGCAGTGGGCAGGAAAAAGGGAGTCCGAGTAGGGGGGAGGAGGGGGGGAAAGGATTTCGAAAGGTTGTATTTAGGGATGTGGAGAGAGATGGATGGCAGGAGACGTGTCTTCTATACGTGTCTTCTATAGAATAGATGTATATGTGTTGCCACATAGAAACAAAAAATGTTTTTTTGTAGAAGATGCCCCACACCCTTTGCTTGCACATCCATCTCATTGGTCGCATTACTGAATGGACTCTGTCTCTTTGCCGAGGGATGCCGAGGGACGCGGTGCCAGGGGACGCGTTGCCGGGGGAAGCGTTGCCGGGGGACGCGCCTCTTTGCGAAGACCTCTTGCATTTCCCCACGTTGTTGCGCTGCTTCTCGTTGAATTTTTCCCGACTTTCTCATGTGTGGAGAATTGCAAAGACAGGGGAACATGCCACGGAATAGACGCCAATCTGTCACTCACGCTCACATACATACAAAGAAGAGCAGGGCCTTGCATTCCGCCATTACTTCGCACGTTTCATATGCGGCCCAAGGCCGAAGGGCCTTGATGGTGTGCACCGGTGTAATGGGCGACAGGTCTTTTCTGCTGTGCTCTATGGTAAAGCTGTACGCCATGTCCAGTTCGCAGAAATATGTTTATTGATTGGAGTTTTTCTACGCGTCTACAATAGATCCCTCTAGACACCGCACCCACGTGCGGCACATCGAAAAAGTGCGATACTGACAAAGTGCAGTAATAATAATCGTTCCGCGGGATTTTCTGGTACCCACGCCTCACAGCAGTGCTGCATACGCTGCCATGAGAGCAGGGTCATGCCAAATGCCAAAGCGTGCAAGGGTGCGATATCTGCAGAGTGCAGTACTTCATATGTGCGATATCTAGCCGCCGCCCCCCCCCCCCCCCCTTCCCCCCTTCCCCTTTACTGTGGTACTTCGGTCAGCTATCCGCGCTAAATCCGGACAAGTCACTATTCCTGAATTGATTACATCCGTTACAGTACTCCCTTGCTCTAAATTATACTGTAATGGCCCTCTGCACGACCGCTGCGGAGGAAGAGAGTGACACGTGTCTATTATCTTCTAGAAGATACTGGGCAACCAGATGAATAGCAAGCAACGCGTTGAGAAGCAGCGAAGGGCGCCAGGTGGGGGGCATTTTTCTTCTCCTTTTTCGCGTCCTACTGAAGCCCACGTCATTGCACTTCTACAGTGCTGTAGTGGTTCTGCAGGACGCGTCCGGATGCGGGTCATGCTCGAGAAATACTGCAATATTTGAGACGGAGAGCGGGGGGAACGAGGATGGAGATTTACGAATTGCGCCGTTCATTGCTTGGTTTTGAGCGATGTGTGAGATTGAAAGATCATAGGAAACTGACAGTAGAGCCGGTCTTGTGTCGAATGCATAAAGTTTACATAGTTGATGTCTGGCACTTTCTCGATCAACTATAGGCAGGCAACATGCATGCTCTCTTGAAAAGATCCCTACATAACCTCAGAGTGTGGCGTCCGCGTCCACAAACTGGGTCACATGAGGATGTTTGGCATCACATGTGAGTGCTTTTTCAATGTTACTTATTCTGTTTATGGAAGTGCAACAGACTCGTTACTCTCGCTGACTGCCCTGATTGAGTGCTCTGCAATGCTTACTCGTACTGTAGCACTGTCAAGCGGAGCCGGTGGCGCCATTTCAATATGGGCCGGGTGGCACTACAGCATGCATGATGACAGATACCGCAGAAACTTTCATCAAAAAAGAGGCAATTCAATAACGTTGTCCGCAAAGTCGCGAAAACACGTGTTTTGGCCGCGAGTTTGCTCGGATTTTCTGATTGCAAAAATTTCAGACGAGTTTTGCATAACTCCCAGCATACAGGCGGGGGGGGGGGGGGGGACCTGCAAAAATGCCCCTTTTGTTACTGCCCCACTCTTAATACGGGAAAAGCGGGTCGGGCCACGTGTT